GTAGACCATGGTTCACATTATAATTTGCCAATAGTTATTGCATGGACCGTGGTCCACACAATGACACAACTGTAACATACATTTTTATAACTCATAAGTCATAATGTATATTATTCTAAAACATAATATACATTATTCTAAAGCATAATGTACATTATTTTTAAAATAGAATGTATATTATATTACCCCCAGATGTTTCATTATTCTAAAACGTAATATACATTATTCTCAGGGATGGATCCAGAAATTTTTTCTCCAGTAGGGGTGAAAAATTTAAACTAACAAAAAATATTAATTAAAAATGAAATACTTAGACCGAGTCATAAATATTATTGACTAGCAATGAAAAAATCAAAACACATCAAGATAAAAAATATTTAAAACAAAATATAAAACATAATTAATTAGATAAAATAGTTTGAATGGAAAACACATTATAAATCACTAATCTAACAATTAATATTAAAAAATAAAAAATAAAAAAGAGAAGAAGTCATAATGTTACAAAAAAAAAAAAATTACAAATTAAATTAGAATTCTCACTATTAATATTTAAGATTTCAAAAGTCAAATTAAATGCGGCAGGGTTCAACCCACCCATGGACCATTACAAATAACATTGAAGTAGTGGATTTTTCTTCAACCTTTATTTATATCTTGGAATATTTAATATATATACTATATTTATTTATGAGGTGGGTGAGTGGGGGTAGCTGCTCCACTGTGACTCTGCCACTAATTATTTTAACTCATAATGTATATTATTCTTATTTATAATATTCACGATGTTTTTGTACCCCCATATTTGCCGTAATATCACTCGTAAATTGTCATTTTACACAATAATTAGACTATGGCAAATTATGCTGTAAGCACGTGCCCACCTTGCAAAGTGGACACGATTTTATATTCATAATTTCTATATTCTAGATTCATAATTTATATACTGTAGATTCATAATTTCTATATTGTAGATTCATAAAATTTATACTTTAGATTCCAATTGTTGAACTCTATTTTCACAAATCAGAGAACTATATGTTCATAATTTTATAACTATACAATTTAAAAATTATGAATTTATAGTACATAAATTATGAATTTGCAGTACAGATATTATGAATCTGCAGTATAGAAATTATGAATTTACTGTATAGAAATTATGAATCTACTGTATTTAAACTATGAATCTACGGTTTAAAAAATATGAATCTAAAGTATAAATTTTATGAATATACAGTATATAAATTATGGATCTACAATATAGAAATTATGAATCTAAAATATAAAAATTATGGATATGAAACCGTGCCCACCTTTCACGTGCTCATAGCATAAATGTTCCTTAGAGCATCTACATCAGTAGATAATAAGGGGATATTGCAGCATTAATTCAACCACTTCAAGTTTATATCTGATGTAGGGGAGAATTCATCTGCAAAATCAAAAATAATGTCAGAAAAGGAGAAAATGAAGAAACAAGCTGCTGTGCGCGTTCTGCGCACAGCAGTAGCCCACACGGGCGCGTCAGGCGCGCCTGAACCTTCTTTTTTTTTTTTTTTTTTTTTTTTTTTTTTTTTTTTTTGATTTTCGTTTTTTAATTTTGGTTTTTTTTCCCTCCCCTTCCCACATTCTCTTTCCTAATCACTCTTACATTATCCCCCATTCTCCCCAACCATTGTGGATGCTCTTAGCAATTGTTATACCCTACACCACGGCGCATATAGCACTGTGCGCCTCCCAAAACGACGTCGTTTTGGGAGGCGCGGTAGGAAGTTGCTGGGATTATGTGTATTTGTTCACACAGTTATGTGTATTTGTTCATACAGTTATGTGTATTGGTTCATACAGTTATGTACATTTTTTATACAATTATGTACATTCTTTTTATACAATTATGTACATCCGAATCAGAAAATTTGTGTGTATTATGTTAATAGTTGATGTGTATTATGTTAAAAGTTTATGTTTATTATGTATTATGTTAGATTATGTGTATTATCTTTTAAAAAGAGTATGTATATTTTGTTATATAATTATGTACATTCATGTATACAATTATGTGTATTCTAGTATAACATTATGTACATTCTTGAACAGCGGGTTTTTTTTTTAAGAAAAAACTACTGCCATTCACTGGGGCGGGAAATTTCAAAAAAAAATAAAAATGAAAACGACGTCGTTTTGCATCTGGGCGCATAGTGCAACGCGCGCCGTGGTGTAGGATATAAATTGCCTGCTCTTAGACTATAAAATAAAATGGAAATTGTCATTTACACAGCCCATTTAGAAGTTTGGTTCAGCCCAAAATCTGGAGCCCATAACTCGTTTCCTCTTTCTTCTTCTTCTTCTTCCCTACTTCACTACTGCATAAAAAGCCTTTGGAACTAATAAAAAGCATATCGGTCCGCCATAATCGTAGGCATCCGAACTTGAGCAGCGTGAAGCGGAAAAACGATATTTCTTTTACAAAGCGAGCCCTTGAATTCAAATTCAACGATTTACTCGTACGGGGCATTCTGGGCTCACCGTTGAGTCCTTCTCAAAGCTGGCGAGGCACTGCAATAGACAACTCATAGCTTTCAGAATTGACTCTCCATTCAAATTCGGCACTGCATCTTCACGAAACTTAACCATCTCTACCCAATGCAGAAAGGAGTCCAGGGACCATGGACTTGGGTGTCTCGTCAACCACCCAAATCCAGAAATCTCTGTCTTTTTACAGAAAGGCTTCTCAGAGATCACCGATGGCATGACGGGAAGAGCAGTGCATGCGATATGCATAAAGGAATCCCATTTAGACATTTTCCACAGCAATACCTTGATCAGCATGTACTCGAAGTTTGGCGGTGTTGGGCGTGCCCGTTACGTGTTCGATCAAATGCCCGAGAGAAATGAAGCGTCTTGGAATAACATGATTTCTGGGTACGTTCTAACGGGCCGGTACTACGATGCAGTTAGACTATTCATTGAAATGTGGGGTCTAGGGGTTGAGGCAAACGGGTATACTATTGCTAGTATATTGACTGCATTGAGTAGGTCCGAAAGTATGGTTCTTGAAGGATATCAAATTCATGGTCTACTCTTGAAGTACGGATTGTTATATAATGTTTTTGTGGGTACTTCGGTGCTGCATTTTTATGGTGTTTATGGGCTTATTTCTAATGCTAGAATATTTTTTGAGGAAATGCCTGAGAAGAATGTGGTTACTTGGACTTCAATGATGGTTGCATGCTCCAATAATGGAAAATTGGAGCAAGTTATTAGTTTGTACAAGCAAATGAGGCATGAAGGGGTTAGTTGTAACCAAAACACCTTCACTGCAGTTATTACTTCTTGTGGCTCTCTCGAAGACAACTCTTTGGGTCATCAAGTGCTAGGTCAGATTGTAAAGTCAGGATTTGATGATAATGTTTCAGTAGCTAATGCTCTTATTTCAATGTTTGGTAATTTTAATTTTGTCAAAGAGGCCTATTGGGTTTTCGAAGGCATGACTGGTAGAGACACTATATCATGGAATTCAATGATATCTGTGCTAGCACATAATCAACTTTGTGAGGAAGCATTTAGATGTTTCGACTTTATGCGCCGTGACCATGATGATATAAATTCCACTACACTTTCTTCCTTGTTGTCAGCCTGTGGTTCTGTAGATAATATAAATCATGGTAGAGGAATTCATGGTTTGGTGATGAAATTGGGATGGTATTCGAATATATGTGTTTGTAACACTCTTATTTCAATGTATGCTGATGCTTTAAGATATTCAGAAGCTGAAAATTTGTTCCAGAACATGGCAGAGAAGGATTTGATTTCTTGGAATTCCATGATGGCTGGCTATGTTTTGAAAGGAGACTACTTCAATGCCTTGAAAGTGTTGACTGAGTTGCTTCACTTAGGAAACACAGTAAACCATGTGACCTTTGCTAGTGCATTGGCTGCTTGTTCAGATGCTGAGTATCTAACTGAAGGGAAGATAGTTCATGGACTTGTTATGACATCTGGGCTCCAAGAAAATTTGATAGTTGGCAATGCATTAGTCACCTTGTATGGAAAATGTGGCATGATGTTGGAAGCTGAAAAAGTGTTTTTTAAAATGCCAGAAAAAGAGTTGGTTACTTGGAATGCACTAATTGGTGGTTATGCTGATAATAATGAAACTATTAATGTAGTGAGAACTTTTATACTGATGAGAGAGAGTGGTGAACCTGCAAACTACATTACAATAATAAATGCTCTTGGATCCTGCTCATCTTTGTTTGACCTCCTGAATACTGGAATGCCATTGCATGGATATATAATTGTAAATGGTTTTGAGAAAGATGAGTATGTGAGGAACTCACTCATAGCGATGTATGGTGAGTGTGGAGATCTCAAGTCAAGCAACTTTATATTTGATGAGGTGGTTTACAAGTCTTTTGTAACATGGAATGTCATGGTTTCTGCAAATGCTCACCATGGCCACTGGGAAGAGGCTTTGAAGCTTCTGCTCAATATGCAGAGGGCTAAAGTAGAGTTAGATCAATTCAGCCTTTCTTCTGGCCTTTCAGCTGCAGCAAACTTGGGTAGTCTGGAAGAAGGCCAACAGCTTCACTGTTTGACTACTAAACTTGGTTTTGATGCATACCATTACATCATAAATGCTACAATGGATATGTATGGAAAGTGCGGTGAACTGACATATGTGCTTAAAATGCTCCCAAAACCAAATATGCGTTCATGTTTGTCTTGGAACATACTGATGTCTACTTTTGCCAGACATGGACTTTTTAATGAAGCGAGGGAAACCTTTCATGAAATGCTTAAGCATGGTGCAAAGCCTGATCATGTCACTTTTGTCTCTCTTCTGTCTGCATGTAGTCATGGGGGTTTAGTGGATGAGGGTCTCACACATTTTGCTTCGATGACTATTGATTTTGGGGTCCCAGTTGCTATAGAACACTGTGTGTGCATTGTTGATCTGCTTGGAAGATCAGGAAGACTTGCTGAAGCAGAAGCATTCATCAATGAAATGCCGGTACCCCCAAATGACTTTATTTGGCGGAGTTTGCTGGCAGCATGTAGAATGCATGGGCATGCTGCACTGGCAAAGAAAGCTACTGACTATCTTCTTAAATCTAACCCCGCTGATGACTCGGCTTATGTTCTGTATTCAAATGTCTGTGCAACATCCGGAAGGTGGCAGGATGTCCAAAATGTTAGGGCCAAGATGGAATTAGGCAACATAAAAAAGCAGCCATCTTGCAGTTGGGTTAAAATGAAGGACAAAATTTGCACTTTTGGTATTGGAGACCAGTCCCACCCATTGTCTGAGCAGATTTACGACAAACTAGGGGAATTAAGAAAAAAAATTAAAGAAGCTGGATATGTCCCTGATACGAGCTTTGCATTGCACGACACAGATGAGGAACAGAAAGAGCACAATCTGTGGAGCCATAGCGAGAGACTTGCACTAGCCTATGCTTTGATTGCTACCCCTGAAGGTTCAAAGCTCCGGATTTTCAAGAACCTACGAGTCTGTGGCGATTGTCATTCTGTTTACAAACTTGTAAGCAACATAGTCAGGAGAGAAATCATATTGAAGGATCCTTATCGGTTTCACCATTTTAGTGGTGGCAGGTGTTCTTGTGGCGATTATTGGTAATCACTAATCACACCTACTCGTTATCATGACTTGTCGGAGTTGTCTTGGCAATCAACTAAAATATGTGAGGTAAAAATAACTTCTTATGACCACTGCAAGGTGCTCTATACTTGTAGCTTGTACTCATAGTAATGACAACTGCTCTTAGAAGTTTAAGAAACACTAGTTTTGGTTGATTGAAGTTCATTATCAGTCAATATATTCATATATTCACTATTCGCTTATTAGAAAACTAATTGTAACATATTGGTTTTGACAGTCGGAAGTTTTTTACGGATGGAATTATGAGATATGAAATTCAGTGAAGATTGCAATGCCACTGAATTGGAGGCAGACCTGGCTTATCTCACAATACTTTGTTGGAAGGTTCATTTAGGACCAACATCATTTGGGGTGCAAATCTGATTGGTGAATTCCTAGAAATTATGTGGCTGAGGGTGCTAACAAATATCAGTTCTGTTCAGAATAAGGTATGGTTTATTCCTTTGCTTTGATAAAGTTAAGATTTGTCTATGGAGAATCTTATTATGAGATGCACCCCTTTCTAGTATGTTATGATGGTCTCCATGTCTGAATGACTAGCACCATGTGTTTTTAATAAAGACAAAATATAAATCTAGATGATTCCTCAAGCTCAGTTGAAGTCAGAAAATATGCTTAGTGAGGATGTACACTAAAAACTTTCAAATTACTAGATGATTCCTCAAAACTAGAATAATTAGCATTTTAACATTTTAGAATTATGAGCAGTTTACTAATTTAGTATAAAGTATCTATAAGCCATGAAAATATATAGATTTCATACGCTAATAAATCTCTAAGTCTGTTGGTCCACGTTTTAGATTTTTAGCAATTTAGCACACTGAGAGAACTATGTTTTGGGGCTATTTCTACTTTTGGAGGAGGTAGAGGGGCCAAGGAGCTGAAAACATTTTAGCACATCATAGATTTAGCTCACTGATAAACATTTTAGCACACTGCCCTTAGTGGCTCTGCCACCAACTATACAAGTGACTTGACGAGATAAATGCAATATTTGACTTTCTTTTCTACATTGTATTTTAAAAATAAATAAAAAAATAAAAACTAACCTTTGATTTTGTCCTCATTATTGTTTAGTTGTGATTTAATACTTATATCATGAACAGTGCAAGTTTGGGAGAGATTCTCCTGTCAAGTGGATTAATTTCAAGGTATGAAAGGACGTTGCAGATTGTATATTGAGCAAGTGGCCATGGTGGGTGCCTTTTCCCCTATTCTGGAAGTATGTATATGTATATGATGGATGGTTATGGTATCAGGAAGACGGTTTCTATAGTGAGGTGGGTTAAGCCCCCAGGATATGTTCAAATAAATATTGCAGCTCGTGGCAGTAGAAAGGGAGCTATAATTGTCTTTTTTTTTTTTTTTTTTCTAAGTTAGGTGATCCTAGTTTCGTCGGACTAATTTTAAGCCCACAGGACCTTGCCTCTAGAGCCTCTGCGGACGTAAATCACAAGTCCCGCAATTAGTCCACCGGTTAGATCCTAATCACAGAGATCCAATCCAGACCTTCCAGTATCATTTTCATATAAATGTTTTCAATGGGATTCGAATTCTCATATTGCTGTCTCCCGTCATCATGACCTTTAAAGTCAGGCAACGAAGTAACTACGATAAGCCTCGGGGCGAAAGCTATCATTGTTAGGGATGCAGATGCTGTTTTGCTTGTGTTTGGCAGGGTTTGAGTTTGGAACTTTGGAAAAGGGATTTAGGGGCTGCTGTTTATGGCTGGAAGGAAGATGAGCTTCGTTCATGTATTTGCATAATTTTTTTGATGGATTATCAAAGGTCAGTTTTAATCAGTGACTTGTCACCTGTATTTTGAGTCATAGAAATTGCCACAACAAAGCATAATTACCCAAAAAAAAATGTTTTAAATAAAATAAAGAAAAAAAGAACATGATGTAATTGCTCTAATTATATGCATTTGTGGACACATCTGTGTTGTACCCATTATTCGTGATGGTACGGTGTTAGTTATATCTCAATTTAGTGGACACATTTAACATTAATTCATGGACAACATGAAGCGTGGCAATGTATTATTTCTCCAGCTGATACGGCATGGCAAATTATTGTGTGGACCATGGTTACACAATGTTATGTGCATCATAACAAAAAGTACATTTTTAATATACTAAATATATGTTATTTTTATACTGAATGTATATTATACAATATAATGTACACTCAGAACAAAAATAATATATATCTCCTGAATACAATGTACATTATTTTTGTACTAAATGTATATTATTTTTGTAGTGAATATACATTATTTTACAATACACAAAGTGGGTCCTCTCAATTTCTGCCACTCACTAAATTTTTTCATCCATTATTTATAAATTTAATAATAATAATAATAATAATAATAATAATAATAGTAAAATCTATCTATCTATACTATATATGAAAATAAAATCTTGAACTTTAACTTCCCGTCCAATTTTTAAAAAATTCCGCTTTTTAATTTAATATATTATTTTTTACTTTTCTATTCGTACTATAATTCTAGGTTAAAATTTTTATTTCAATATTATTTTTTGTACTAAAATTCTAGGTTAAAATTTACAAATACTCCATACATAAACATAACTATTTGAACGCACAAAAAAAATCTTGCACTACAAATAAAGAAACGTAGATTTGGCGATTTGAAATTTTATAATCTGTGCATTCCAACAATATTGTTTTTTTTACTAATGGACTTTGTTTTTGTCTCTACTTCTGACTTATCTCCCAAGATGAGAAAAAGTTGTATAAGGCTCCGACTCATTATTTGTCAAGGGAATATCCACGTTCCACAGTCAACCAAACAGACGCTAGAGTAGTTACTACATAACTCCCAGGTGAATGTTATTAATTATAGTTCTATGATTTGTAGTAAATGTTGATAGTTTTGATTTTATTTTACTAATCTTTTGTTTTTATAATTTTCAATTCTATTTTGACGTGTTTGGTAATTAGTTGTTAGCTAATTGGGTATAACAATGAGTTTGACGTTTCTTTTCTTTATGTTTTATGCATTGAGTTATTTCTCAATTCCAAGTGATTGTAATATTGTTGCTCTCCTGCATGCATTTGCACACAGTATATATACAGCCAAAAGAAGAAAAAAAACATAGAAAAATTATATAAACACAAACTAAATTCAAATTAGAAAAGGATCGGATTTGTTTAATTGAGAATATAATTATGAAATAGGTGGAATGTTATGATTAGAAAAGAGAATTTACGAATTTTCACTAATTTTTTTTTTTACTTGGGGAAAAGAGGTTTTTGTTTTGTTTTGCTTTGCTTTGTTTTTTTTTTTTTTTTTTTTTTTTACTAGGTTAAAAATGGAAACAAAATAATAATTGTTTCAATCTTCATTTAAGGAGTCTTTAATGGGTTCAGTTATAAGTTTATATATATATATATATATATATATATATATATATATATATATATATAATAAATACAAGGACATTTTGGGAAAATGTTATTCTTTTCCCAAAACGCTAAATTGAAATGCTGCAAAATGTAGCATTTTAGTTTTCAGCAGTTTGGATCAAATCATTGTTCCAAACTGTTGAAGAATCAAATGACTTTTTTGGCATTTTGTCTCCGGTCAAAATGTTAAAATGGTGGATCTGTCAAATTTTTTACCAATTTGCCATTTACTAAACAAGCCAATCATTATATTTGTGTATAGTTGTAAACTTTTAACAAAATTAAGTCTGACTCCTATATTCACACCAAATTATGTGTGGTTTCAACTTCAATCGATATTGTTGAACATGAAATTTCTCCTAGAAACAGAATGAATGCAATCAAGTTTAGAGTGGTGCGTACAAAGAAGATGATGATTTGTTTGATGAGGTTACTTATTTGTCACTAACATTGTTTTCCTTTCACGACTTTCTGGATGGACAAGTGCCTGAAAGTCTTATTGAAACATTGGAGCCTAACAATCAATACAATGGAAAGGATGGTGGATCTGTTAAGTGCTGTGAAGGTTGAAAAGCTGGATTGAAATAATTAATAACATAATTTTCTAACAAGGTTGAAATCGTTGCCCCAAACTGCTGAAGAACCAAACGACTTTTTTGGCATTTTGTCTCTGGTCAAAATGTTTGGTAAAATTAGCTTTTTATTATTATCGGTTAAATGTAAAAAGACATATAAGGACATTCTCATAATAATAATAATAATAATAATAATAATAATAATAATAATAATAATAATAATAATAATGTTATTATTATTATGCAATATTAAAATAAAATTTATAATAATTTATAATAATACTGGTAACAATGTTAGGTGTTAGCTCTAGACGAGGTTGGACAAGATTCTGTTGCTACTACCAATGTCGTCTACAAAGATGTTTTCAATAATGTGTAATTCCAACTAATGATATTATGTCTTTCTTTTATGCGAAAATGACAAAATTGGTATATATCTGCAGAGAAATATATCTTCCATACAAATAAATTAGGATTGCAAATGATTTATATAATGGGTTGCTAGACAACGAGCAAATTTGCCACTTAATACAAATCATAAACACTGATATATTAAATGTCTAAAGTTTCAGCACCGGATCGTACATCGACACATTGGCTATTAATTGGACAATTATTGCTCGAATTTAAGCAATGATAACATCAGAAAATACAATCGATACAAGTCAATTCTTCAATTGTATTATATAACATTCGATGTTAATATTTATTTATATAATTCTATATCGATCTAAATATTGTTAAAATATTATAAAAAATATATTTCGTGCATCGCACTGGTGAAAATACTAGTAGTAATAATAGTACGTAACAATAACAATTATATAAGAACAAAATTTAACCTTTTAGTCTTACACAGTATAAAATCTCCTAAAAATCACCTATCTCAACATGTTTCTTTTATCGTACGTTTGATTCACTGAATAGGCCTGGAATAGAATATCATTCTCGGTAATAGACCTATTCTTTTGTTTGGTAAAAACTTCTATTCCCAGGAACATTATTTCTAGGAATGACCTATTCCCCTTGCAAGGGGAATAGAGATTCCTAGCCTCCCCCTAGCGCACCTTCAGCAGCAGCAGCATCAGTGGCGGCGGCAGTGGAAGAGGCAGCAGCAGGAGGTGACTTGTGTTCTTAAGATGCTTTGTTTGTGTGTTTAAGGTGCGAGGTTTGTGTACGGAAAGTGCGCCATTTTCATGCTTAAGGTTAAGTTGCATGGTTTATTTCAGAGGCACATTTTTTTTTTTTTTTAAATTTTCATTGATTTGAGCCGTTGATCTAGATTTGATCAACTGCTTAGATTAAACCGCACGTCTGCAGTTGAGCAAATTTTCGCGCTAGAGCCCCTATATATATATATATATATATATATATATATATATATATATATATATATATATATATATACACACACACACACACAAAAATGATTTTATTTATTAGATGCTAATTATATTTGAAGTTAAAAAATAAAAAACATAAATAACCATTTAATTTTTTTACAAAATAAATTGACATTGTATATTATGTACATAACAAAATATTACACATTATTAAACAGTTCATGGTAAACAACACCAATGGTTGAATCACTAACGATATTCGACTAACTACATATTACAGTTTTCAAACCTTCTAGATTACTCACTCTAAAAACAACAACGTACAATTGACCATAAACGAAAACATGTATCTTTAAAAGTAAATATTAATATTTTGCACACGGTAAAATGCACGGACAAAAATAAAATTGAATAAGACAATAATATATCTAGTAACTATTACAAATTAATGAATAAGCATTTAGTAATAATATTATTTTTACCAATTACAAAAATCCAAACTAATTAATGTGTAGAACAACTATATAGAATTATCAGAAAATTAACAATTTTTGAATGTTAATGCTAATAATTTCAGTCATTTAGTTTAAATTGGTTACTTATGTTATATACATTCTATTTTTTCTAAATAATGGTTATACGAATGAAAGAATAAACTGTATATAGGAATGAATTAAAAAAAAAAAATCATCCTGAATACATCACTGTCTATTTAGTTTCTGCTAGAAATAATTATTCAAATTGAAAATTCGCTCACAGAAAAATATTTAGAACTCAAACAAGTATGAGAATTCAAATAACTATTGCATAGAGTACTCTGAAGCTATATAAAGGAATAAAATAAATACGAACTGAAAAGTTAGAATAGTTTTTTTTTTTTTTTTTTTTAATACACGAACAAACTAATTGAAAGAAAAAACTCAGACACTTTATAATAAGATATTAAGTTATTAACACTACTCTGTTGATACAAATATACTCACATGTACACAGGCTCCTTACATTTGATCGATTCGCTACCTCTTCTTTTTGGGATTTCATATGTACGCAGGCACTGAACCAAGATAGCGTTGCTAGTTTTCAAAAGATTGATTTCGCGTACCAGAAGGTATAAAGGTGCTATGTTTATGGAAGTTTGAATTTGTATTGATACCAAAGTGCTTGTATATTGATATGATATGATGAATTGACCTGTAAACGAAATATATTATAGAGTTTGCATTGAAATTAATGCTACTGTTCCGAATATCATAGAGTTTGCATTGAAAAGAGATAAGATCATAAATGGTGACCACTGGATAACCAAAAGTTGTGATTGGAAAATTTAAGAGTCGGCATATTCACTCTCAAACGACGGAATATTAATGCCACCAAAGCTATGTCATTTTTTTTTTCTTTTTTAACGAAAAGCGGGATTTTATTAAGGGCGGATAGCCCAGTGGGAGGGAAACCCCCGAAGAT